GCTAGGAACAGTCATATTAACAGCTGCCTTCAAGCATTCGTGCTCTTAAAATAGCCACACCGTTTAATATTTTAAACTATAAACAGGCAACTCCTAATAACAAATTTCTATTTCTCAAGTTGTTTTTTTATTTTTTATTTTCCTATCTTTCATAATCCATACTAGGCTATGACCTGTATCTGTGAGAACTAAAGAGAGAGAAGAGAGTCACAAAAAAAAAAAAAAAACCCTAAACTGTTGGGCTTAGGAGGAAGTATCAACCACCCATTAATGCATCTCTCTGTGTTCCTTCCAATTTTATCTCAAAAGTTTTATTAAAACCTACGAGCGCTCAACTGAAATCTCTTCTTTTGTTTTTTTCTACTTGCTTTTTGTTATTGGTGAGGTAAGAGCTTGAGGATCAAGTCTTACCAGCTGAAACTAAATCTCTTGAAACCAGTGATCGAAGGTTGATATCTGTGAACTATAGAAGCATTGTCTCTCAATCTCCTGTTAGGTTTGATACAAATAATTTTCAGTCGCTTTGAAATTCCTTTTTGAAGAAAATGATTATTATCTTATATGATAATGAAGTATTAAATTTTACAAGTGAGATTGTAGCATTAACTTATATCTATTATGATATATTTAAAAAATAATAAATTATTTAATTATTAAATAAACATATATAACAATCATCTAATTTCGACTGTAAAATTTAATAATTTCACCATCAATATAGAATAATAATCCAAAACGAAATTTTCATTGTAAAGACATCTTCTTACAAATGTTGTGTTATCTTTCATATTTCAAAAATTATCATTTAATACATCAAATTTATTTTTTTCAATGTGAAATCAAACAATTATTCACTAAACTATCTCTTATTGGTTTAAGAAACAAATTTTTTAGTTTTTTTATAGCTGAAAGTTCTTCTACTCGAGTTTCACATGTGTAAGTTTGATTCAACTAAACGATGATTTGTTGTTTGGTTAATTTGTTTATTTGATGTAATTTATTGACTTTTTATATGTAATAATTGAATATAATTATAATTTTTTTATATTAATAACTTCATAAAAAATATTTTTTTATAATTACAGTCATAATTGGTAAAAATAAAACTAGTTTTAATATTAAAAAAAACTAGGGGATAAATAACACTAATATTTTCCTTTTCTTAACTACTCTTTGTGTGATTTGTTTTTTTTTTTTTGTCAAATTGTGATATCTATTTTTCACTAATTAAATATTAACCCCAAATTATTTTTTATAATATATATTGATTCTTAAATTTTTATTTTAATAAGGTCAATTCCTCTCAAATTTTTATTTTAATGAAACTGATTTATGATTTATTCTATATTAATATATATTATAGAGGAATTAAAAATTTAAATGATCAGATCAAATGACCCCACTTTTATTACATGGATACACCACTATCAGTAGACGACAATATATATACGTAGAAAAAGTTTAAGAGGAGGTGTTGGTCACTGCTGCCATTATTTATAAGCTGAATACAACATTCCCATAATTACATAAGTCAAGTCGTTCTAAATATTCCCACGTATGAAAAAAAAGGAATCAAAATTACTTCCAAATTAAGTAGATGATGATGGTGGAACTTAACAATCTCCACCTACTGTTTGATATTTAATTTCTTCATGAAATTGATGATAGCGTATGCCTTCAGCTTCCATCATTCTGTTTGGCTCTTTACACAACCACGCCGAGGATTAGGAGAAGCCAAAAGGCAGAGAAAACTAAAGATTATAAAGGCTTACCACACATATTTAAATTACCTCATAAGAAACGAATAAAGCAGATACAAAAAACTAATATGAGAACAATTTTTTTTATTCCAACTTTTTTTTTTTTTTTAGCTAGGCTAAGGATATATTGTAAAATATATAAGATAAAATAAAATAAAAAGCAATGGAACAATTTCTTTAATTATTCTCTGGGTATGGAACAATTTTATTCTTTCTTATCCTAGAAGATTCTTCAAAGAACTCTTTCCACTTTTCAGGATTCGACATTATCCTCATCAGTAACCAACTGGAATAACCCAACCCAATGCATCAAAGAACAAAGCAAAGCAGAAAAGAAACATCCGATGGCAATTTTAGGGCCTGGAGGTATTAAAAAAAAGTTACTAATGCATTATAACTTGTATATATATGTGTGTGTAGATAATAAATTTAATTATGACATAATTTGATATTCATCTCAAAAAATTTATTCATTTTTTACTTTTTTTTAAATTAGATAATTTGATAATGCAGATTAATGCTATTTTAATTACTGGTATAGCAATTTTTTAAGAAAACAAAAGAAAATTTATTAAAAAAAAATAATAAAATTAAATATACAGTAGTAGGAAGCAAATAAAACTTAAATGATCATCTCATACTACTAACTAATAATAATATTTAGACTATATATAGTTGTACTTTTTGTTGTTCTTTGTTAAGGTTTGACGTTGTGAATAACCAATATATATTTGGCTACAAGTAGTCAAAACCATGCATGCAAAGGTTGGTAGCAACGTATCAAGTGCCAATTAGCTTCCCGCCAAACAATCGATCGATCGCACTCTCGTAGGCTGTTTTAGGTACTTTGCTGGCCCAGCCGGCTCCCCCTCTCCGATATATGCTACTTTCATCTTTACGCACTTTCCTCGTAATTTCTTACCACTCATCCGATGTTTGATTTCGCTTTTCATTTGGCAGTTTATATATATACCGTTGCTTAGGTTTTAAGTTTAGGAATTGTCTCTAAATTTTTAGTTTAATGATTAAAAGTACTTAAAAAGACATTAAAAATTTGATTTTGAATTAAATTTTTTCTTTTTTTCGTTATTTATACTTGAATTTTGTCTTTTTAATGTAACAAAAAAAAACTTTAGAAATTACTATTATTTCTTAAATATTATAATTAGTTACATAGTCCAATATATCGCTGAAGATACAAAGTGAGATAATTATTAGTGTTTCGCATTTTGAAAAGTGATGGCTCACGAGTCAGCGGCCAATGTCTTCTTTGACACTGCGGTCTGCATATAACAAAAGTCCGCAGCCAGCTTCAAATTCTTTTTTTAATCCGCCGAAGTTCTTTTCACTTTTGCGGACAAAGCATTAGAAGCCACGCCGGCATGTAATGTATTATTATCTAAATAATAAAAAAACCTCAACTTTATTATTTTATTTATATAAATATTTATACTTTTATTATATTTAAATAAATTTTTAATTTTTAATTCATATCCAAATAAATCTTTAATTTGTAATTTATACTTAAATAAATTTTAATATAAATATTTAAAGAAAATTTTATATAAATATTAAATAAAAATAACACAGCATTCCAATTTTTTTTTTGCCATAATAAAAAAAAAACTTTTCTATTCAAAAGCAAATCATTTTACCGTTCAAATTGGGATACGGCCATTTGGGCTTTACATTAGAGCATTAAATAAACTTAAGTGGCTTTTTCCTCCGCCACTTTCCGTGGCCGAACAAGTGTCCATCTGGTGTACCAGACAATGCTAGTGTGGCTGTTATAAGCGTGGGATATTTTTCTTTGGTTTTTATATTACACAATTGTTGGGTTGGTTTAAAAGCACTAGTAATAAATTACACCATATCGTCGCTTTTACCCATCTAGTTTGATTTGAATGAGATCGGCCTGCAGCACGGCACTGTCCCGTTGACACCCAAATGGAATCGACTGTTATGCGACATCAATTAATTATTTTTTGGTTCAGTGGTCGTCACTTTAGTTTTTTTTTACTCTTAAATTTTTATTGTTAACTCAAAAATGTTTCCTAAATTTTTATTTTTTTTATGATTTATTATTATATAATAAACTAATAAATATATATTTTATATTATATCATAAATTAATTGATAATACATTTTATTATTTATTATTATTTATTAACAAATTTATTATTTAATATAAAAATAATTTATAATTTATAATCTATAATTATTTATTAATTGTATAAATATTAAATAATTTAAAATTTTTATTATATGTAAATTTTTTAATATATATTCTTTAATATAATTTATCTCATCATTATTAATACTTTTACAGCTAAATCCATATTTTATTAAACTATGGTAATTAATCTTGCATTTTTACTTCTACAATTATTTTTATTTCCATCATAACCAATCTCATCAATCCAAATGTAATCGCCGTAATAACCTAACTGAAGTTAGGCCAAAACCAATACTTCCTTTTCCCTTTTAACCAACTGCAACATCCTTTCCTTTTTGTTTGATTTTAAATTTTAAAATTTTTTTTATTTTGAAGAGTAAAATAGGAAAGTATTTCACTTTTTTTATTATAATTTTATAATTAATTAATCAAATTTAAAAATTATAAAATTATCTACTATTTAAAATATAAATCTTATATATTTTTATAAACTTTATATAATAGTAAATTATAATTGATTAATCACGTTTTGTAATAATCATATTATTAGATTAATAAAAACTTAATCAAATTGATCAAAGAATTAAATTTGATTAATTAATATTTAAAATTAATATAATTAATAAAAATAAAATAAAATAAAATAATTCATTTAATTTAATTTTAAATAATTTAATTCAAAATAATCGAAATGGCCGAACAAATGTGATAATCGTAAGTGATACATGCTGTTTATGATAGAGACCTTGACAGAGGTATTCCAAAGGTAAAGTTTCCAAAAAAAAAAAAAATCTCTTTACTATTTAAAAAATAATAAAAGTTTTTTTTCACTTTGTCTGAAAGTTAATAATTCATGTTTACTTAAATCCATTGTTAAAACTTTAATGGTTTTAAATTTAATATAAAAATAAATAAAAACTAATTAAAATAAAAATAATTTAAATAAATATTAATTATAGATTTAAATAAAAATGCATTATCAACGTTCAGATAGAACTTTTCTGGTACTTTTTTAACCAACGGACAAGATTCAATCTCGAAGGTTCCATCTTGATGATGAAACATCCTCGTTTTTACTTTGTGCAAAAGCAGGAAGCACGTCTTTTTCTTCTCTTTAACTCCTGTTCAGTTGTTGCTAATTGGTGGGTCACCTCTAATTTATCATCTCCTCTTGTTTCTGATCAAAAGGCTCTGTTTCTTTGCGATGGAGTGTGGGATCGCTTTGGTTGGCGAGAACCTTCTTTCTTCTCTCATTGGGATGTTATCCGAGGAGCTGGCCACCCCTATGCTGCTGGAGTTTGCTCGCAAGGAACAGGTCCGTGCCCATCTCAAGAAATGGGAGACCATTCTCTTCAAGATTCAGGCAGTTCTCGAAGACGCAGAGGAGAGGCAATTCACTGATCGCGTTGTTAAGATATGGCTTGACGAGCTCAAAGACTTGGCCTACGATATTGAAGATGTGCTTGATGACTTTGCCACTGTAGCTATGCGTCAAAAGTTCAAGGAAGAGAGTCAAACAATCATCAGCAAGATACGAAAATACGCTTCTTCCCTTTTTGATCATTTTACTTTTAATTATAAAATGGCATCCAAAATAAAGGAAATAACTGCTAGATTGCAAGATATTGTCCAACAAAAAGATGACCTTGGTTTGATAGAAAGAATTGAGGGTAGCCGTGATAGAGTGCTGCGAAGAACGCCCTCTACTTCTTTGGTGAATGAATCTCTTGTTTTTGGTAGGGACAGAGAGAAGGACCTTATTGTTAATCAACTTCTGAAGGACGAATCATGTGATGGTGGGATTTCTGTGATTCCCATAGTTGGAATGGCAGGTTTAGGGAAAACTACTCTTGCCCAGCTCGTCTATAATGATGCCAGAGTTGATAGTTTCTTTGAATTGAGAGCTTGGGTTTGTGTTTCTGGGGAATTTGATGTTGTTCGAGTGATGAAAACTCTGTTAGAATCCATTACTTCAAGGGCTTCGGATGTTAATGACTTGAACGAGCTGCAAGTTAGAGCGAAGACGAAACTGTCTAAGAAGAGATTTCTCATAGTTCTAGATGATGTTTGGAATGAGAACTATAACGATTGGATGCTTCTTCGTGGTCCTTTTGAAGTAGGTTCTGCGGAAAGTAAAATCATCGTTACAACCCGTCATCAACGAGTTGCATCAATAATGGGAACTGTTTCTGCTTACCATTTGGAAGAACTGTCAGATGATCAGTGTTTGTCTTTGTTCACACAACATGCTTTAGGGAGTACAAATTTTGATAATCATCCAAATTTGGAAGTAATTGGTGAGGCAATTGTGAAAAGGTGTAAAGGCTTGCCATTGGCTGTGAAAACCCTTGCAGGCCTACTGCGCTGCAAGATAGATTATCGTGAATGGGAAGATATACTGAACAGCATGATATGGGATTTACCAGAAGAAAATAGTGAGATTCTGCCGGCCCTGAGGTTGAGCTACCATTATCTTCCTTTTCATTTGAAACAATGTTTTGCTTATTGTTCAATATTCCCCAAGGACTATGAGTTTGACAAGAATGAATTAGTTCAGTTATGGATTGCGGAAGGCTTTATCCATCAACCCAAAGGATTGAAGCAGGTGGAAGACTTAGGTTCTGAGTATTTTCATGATCTATTATCGAGGTCTTTTTTTCAACAATCAAGTGTTAGCAAATCATGTTATATGATGCATGACCTCATCAATGATTTAGCTCAATATGTTGCTGGTGAAGTTTGCTTTAAGTTGGAGGACAGGATTAATGGCAATGGGCAATGCTATGTTCCCAAGAGGGCTCGCCACTCCTCATTCATTCGCCAGAAGTATGATGTCGTCGCAAAATTTGAATCCTTCAACAATATGAAACGCTTAAGAACATTCGTAGCATTACCCGTCTTTGTGCCAGATCCAGAAGTAGAATGCTATTTATCTAATACAGTGTTCCAAGACCTTCTGCCTAAACTTGGATGCTTAAGAGTGCTATCTTTGAGTGGTTATTGCATAAGTGAGCTGCCAGATTCTATTGGTGATCTCAATCACTTACGATACCTGAATCTGTCTCGCACTGGAATTAGATGCTTACCTGACTCACTGGGTGCTCTCTGCAATTTACAGACATTAAACTTGAGGGGGTGTAAAGAACTTGCTAAATTGCCTCCAGGAATGGGGAATCTAATCAGCCTTCATTATCTTGATATTGCTGATACTGATAATATGACGGAAATGCCACTGAATATAGGTAACTTGATCAATCTCAAGAAGCTGTCAAAGTTTACTGTGGAGAAAGGCAATGGGCGTAGGATAAGAGAGTTGAAAGGCTTGTCTCATCTTCAAGGGCAGCTTTCTCTATTTGAGTTGCAAAATGTGGCAGAGATTCGAGACGTAAGGGTTGCCAATCTAAAGGAGAAATGTGGACTTGATGAGATAGCTATGAAGTGGAGTAATGCTCCAAATGATATTCAGAGCAAAGTAGATGAATTTGATGTTCTCGACGTCCTAGAACCCCATCAAAATCTAAAGAAGCTCAGTATATTGTTTTATAAAGGATCAAAGTTCCCTTCTTGGATTGGGAATCCTTCATTTGTTAATGTAGTGAAAGTAAATCTCTATGATTGTTCGAAAATCACATCATTACCATCACTTGGGAGATTACCTTCCCTCAAGGACTTGCACATTGAGAGAATGAGTGAAGTAAGCCTGGTGGATTCTGAATTTTATGGGACTAAATATTCTGATAAGCTTTTTCCATCCTTAAAGACTCTAACATTTGGAGAAATGTTGAAGTGGGAGAACTGGACTCAACCTCGGGGGTTTGAAGCTGCAGAAAAAAAATTCCCCCATCTTCATGAGCTTGTGTTGCAGAATTGTCCTAAGTTGGTAGGAGCTGTGCCCAACCTGCTTACTTCCCTTGTAAAGCTTTCCATTTGTGAATGTCCTCAGCTGGCAGCCTCATTTCTGAGCTTCCCATCTCTTCGTGAATTGAATTTAGAACAATGTAATGAGCAGTTTCTTCCAAGGTTCGTAGACCTCACTGCTCTCTCTAGGTTGAAAATTGAGAACATTTCAAATCTCTCTTGCTTACCCGAACACTTCACATGCTTGGTATCACTTGAAGTTCTTGAAGTTGAAGATTGTCCTAGACTGACATTGCTGTGGCAAAAGGGTGCCAGACTAGAAAACCTTTCTTGTTTGAAGCGTTTGGCAATTATCAAGTGTCCTCAACTATGGAGGTTGATAGATGAAGAGGAAGAGGAAGAGGAAGAGCTGCCTTCCAGCCTAGAATATCTGGAAATAGAAGATTGCACTGAACTGGTAAAGCTTCCAAATGGGCTACAAAAGCTGAGATCATTGAAAGATTTGAGTGTTAAATGGTGCCCCAAACTATTGTCTTTTCCAAATAGAAGTTTGCCATCTACGCTAAAAAATCTGGTAATTTTGGGATGTCAGTCTTTAAAGTCTTTACCTGAGGGACTGGTGACCGATGGTGACAGCATCATCACTAGATGTCATCTTGAAAACTTGGAGATTCTGGTATGTCCATCTCTCAGATTGTTTCCTACTGGTGAGTTACCAGCTGCCATTAAGCACCTTGAGATTTGGGATTGTGTTCACTTGGAGTGTATTCCAGAGAGATTGCTGCAGAATAGTAGGTCTCTTGAATTCATTCGCATTGGAAACTGCAAAAATCTGAAAGCCTTACCTTGGTGCCTGTACAGCTTTGAACATCTCACTGAGTTGCATGTAACTCAATGCTCTTCCTTGGAGAACTTCCCAGAAAGTGGGTTGCCCATCTATAAACTCAGAACACTCTTGATCTCCAACTGTGAGAATCTCAGGTCCTTACCCAAGCAGATGCATGACCTCACATCTCTGCAATATCTAACAGTATTTGGTTGTCCAGGTGTAAAATTCTTGCCGGAAGCTGGTTTTCCCCCAAACCTGCTATCACTTTCTATATGGGGTTGCAAGCAACTCAAACTACCCTTTGCAATGTGGCGCCTGCACAAGCTCACTTCTCTTAAAGACTTAAATGTTGGTGATTTTGATTTGCATATGAGTTCCTTCCCAGAAGAGTCTACAATTCCACAAACTCTTCTCCACCTTCGAGTCCAGAGTTTACCTAATCTGATATCTCTATCCAAGGGGCTCCAGGACCTGGTTTTTCTTGAAGCATTAGATGTTTGGGACTGCCCTAAGCTTCAGTACTTGCCGAACGATGGCCTGCCTGTCATGCTGGGTGTACTTGAAATCAGAAATTGTCCTCTTCTAGAAAAGCAATGCTTAGATGAGAAAGGTGCATATTGGCCAATCCTTTCTCACCTTCCTCGTGTGAGGATAAATTATCACGACATCCGCTGAACGAGCTTAAGCAGATTGAATTCTACCAAAAACGAAATTCTAATACGTCCTACTGTTGAACCAGGTAAATCCTTTTCTGGCCTCGGGAAACTAGAAACAAAATTTTCGATGTTGTATCAGTATGACAAATAAATGTGCATTTCTAATATAGAACTCTAATGCCTTTGTACTTTGTTTATCATATGCTAATAGCATATTTTACTGCTGTACAGTTGGATGATAGAAGAAATAAAAGCAAATAATGTTTTGATTTATGAAATCCCTGTCCCTGAGTGCAACCAACTAAAATGGGGCAATGTACCTGAGCAGCTGCAAGATGCAATAGAAGCAATATATATATATATATATATATATATATATTTGTTTTGTTTATCCAAATATAATTTTCTGTACCTACAAAGACTAATTGATTGATTAATTTGTGATCAAAGGGATGGCATAATTGGTTTCTACTGATATACTACGAGTTAATTACAAAGGTTACTGCTGCTAACTGAATAATAATCAAACTTCTTCTCGTAATAATACAGTAGTACATTAGCATTGTAAATATAATTTTATCTCATTCCTTCTCTCTTCCATCTATGTTTCCTGTTAAACAATGCAACATCATTAGAACAACTATTTTAAATATTAATACTACTACTATTTTATATTACCTGGTAGCCTCCAATTTTGACCTGTGAAGCAACCAATGGCTATTATTTGATTCGACGCGCTGCAATTAAGCTTTCTTTGCTACAAAGTTCCCTTCTTGGGTAAGGGAATCCTTCTTTTGCTAAAACAGAGCAGCTAGACCTCTTGGCTGTATAAATTGCTTATCATTGCCATCACTCGGGCATTACTTAGAAAGTTGAATATAAGAGGCATGCATGCAGTGAAGAATTTGGGCACTGAATTTTACGGAGAGGATTCTTCTTTTGTTTAGGCTTTTCCATCTTTGGAGTTCTTGAGGTTTGAGAACAAGCCAGAATGGAAGGAATGGATTTCACCTGTTGCTAATGTAGAAGTTGTCCCTCTTCTTCGTGAGCTTATACTGCATGACTATCCTAACTCCTAAGTTAGCTGGAAAGTTACCAAGAACATTTTGTTCTCTGGTAAAACTAGATGTTCAAAAGTTTCCATGGTTAATGAATTCGCCTTTAGGTATCTCATGCTTAGGTGAATTGACTATTGAAGAAAGTAGTGACGTAATCCTTATAAGTATGGTTGATCATCGTTCCATCACCAAATTGAAAATTTAGAGAATTTCAGACCTTACCTGCTTAACTGAAGAGCTCGCAAAGGCCTTTGTGAAACTTGAAGTTCTAGAGATTGAGGGTTGCTGTGAACTTACCTGTTTGTGGCGGAATGGATCAGAATTAGAAAACCTGCCTCGGCTAGAGAGTCTAGTAATAAAGAATTGTCCCGAGCTTGTATCCTTGATCGGAGAAAAGCAAGGGCTATGCTGCCTCTCATCTGTTAAAGATCTCAGGATTGAAAGCTGCCAAAATTTGTTTCCCTGCCAGCAACAGGTTTGCCAAATACACTAAAGTGCCTTACAGTATGACTGCAAGGCTCTGAGGTCACTGCCTGACACGTTTGGGATGAATGGCTGCAACATCCACTACAGCCTTCTTGAAGAGTTGTAGGATGTTCTTCTCTGAAATCCTTCTTAAAAGGCAAGTTGCCCTACACACTCAAAGAGGTTGAGAATAGAAAACTGCAGATATATACAATGTCTTCCGGATGGACTAGTGCGACGTGATGAAAATGAGAATAGAACATGTCATCTTGAATATTCGTGTCTAGGTGATTCTCTTGCCTCAGAATCCTTCCTCGAAGGCAGGTTGTCAATCCCAAATCTTAAAATTTTTCGCATATCCAATTGTAGGAATCTCAGGGCCCTGCCAACCCAGATACAGAACCTCACCTTCCTTCAAGAATTGAGTTTTTCTGATTCTGTGGCTCTCACATCCATTCCAGATGGTGGTTTGCCACCCTGCATAACTTCTCGAGTTAGCGTAACTGCAAAAATCTGAAGTAGCCAATGTGAGGGTGGGCCCTGGAAAAACTTAATTGACTTACAGAAATCAAAATTGTTGGTGCGTGCCCGGCTGCAGATACGGTTTCCTTTCCAGATGACGAGGGCGTGATGCTTCCTTCCACTTTAACCAATCTTTGCATGGAAAGCCTCCAGAATTTGGAATCTCTATCAAGGGGACTCGAAAACCTCACAGCACTCGAAGATTTGCACATTAAAGACTGCCGTAAGTTCCGATTTCTACCAAAGACAGGCCTACCGGCCTCACTTGGACGACTATGCATCTCTAGCTGTCCTGTTTTGCAAGACAAGTGCATAAAAGAGAGGAGAATACTGGGCCGTCATATTCCACATCCCTTGCCTTGAAATAAACTGAAAATCTATGCTGAATCTGGTCTGAGTTTTCAACGATATGTACGCAAATTCCAAAAACAAGCTGTTGATAGATTCAGAAGGGAAACAAGAAACAAATTTCTGCAAATGGTCTTCGGTTTCTTCTCCCTCTCTTGGTACTTTCGTTCTTTCTCTGCCTTTCACAAATTTTCCTATTTATTCAAGGAATTACTTTATAATTGCTTGTATCTTTCTTTCTCTCTTTTTTTTCTTGACATGATATCTCATTTGACCCTAGACTTATTGTATTTTTCTAATGAGATATCTAAAAATTTTTTTTTTTAATATAATGCTTGAATTACATTTTAGATATTAAATTATTAAACTCTTAACATCGTTAAAATAACATTAACTTGACATTTAAATACTAATGTGAATGACACGTGACTGTCATATGATTTAGATGTAACTATCACATGTCATTTTTAAAAACTATAATTTTTAAAAAAAATTTTTATTTTTTATTATTTAAAATGGACATATGCCAATCATATCACTATCACATGATAGTCATATATTATCAATGTCAACATTTAAGTACTAAATCAATATTATTCTAACAGTTTTAAAGAAGTTGAGATAACTTAATACACGAAATTAAAGTTTAAGTATTTGATTAAAATTTTTTTAATTTAAGTATCATATTAAAAAAATTACAATAGTTTAGGGACAAATGAGTTATTATCCTTTTTCATTATATTAAGGAATGCAGCTATTAAAAAGTAATGCAGTCACTAAAAAATCCAAGTTATTGCAAGTGTTGTACTTCGAGCTGCGGGGAAATGCCAGTGAGTCCAATTTTTCAGGACAATCATGGTAATTGGGTCTAGAAGAAGTAGCCATGAAGCATCATAGGCTATCTTTACTACGAGGTCGCATTGATATTGACCAGTGGAAAGCTCATTCAGTCGGGTAACGTTGTGATGCTCTTTTTCCACCTCTGTTTCTTCTTGTTGAAATGCATGGTGCTCAAAATCCAATTTACTCTTACAATTAACTTAAAATTGCTACTTATCTTATTACAAAAGATTCTGGAGGCTGCGGCCTTGCACGTTTCTAACCTTGTATTCTGTTATGGTTGATCGGTGCATGATGAAGGTGGGCTTACTTTTCACTGGTGTTGGCAACGAGGCATGCTTATGCTGCATAAGTCTTTTCTGTCAATTTTAGGTCGGTTCCTTCAATTTCATCAGGCCAGCTTACTCAGTTCATGCATCTAAAGAAAAGGCATTGCTCAAACCAATTTCATTTGCATGGAATAAGTTCGTCTTTGCTACCCATTTCAGTCATATTTGAAAAGTACCAGAAAGAGAAAAAAAGTTTGTTCCCCATGCTTGTCATGAGTCAAATACACATTTTGGATATTGACTGTAGAATAATTATGGTCAGCATGTTATATTGGACATATAGAAAGCATATTGTTCTGCACGTGGGAAATGTGGAATATAAACATTTTTTTTGGTATTTCCCTTCTTGGTGAATCAGGTTTGAGAGAGTTGTTTAAACTCAGTCCAATTCTTTACCATTTGCTCGAGGTCAATAAAAAGTCAAGTGCTGATTTCTTTAATTGTGATCTGCTATATAAAACTGATAGATATGGCTTTAATTTTGTAGTAGACTTTATCCTTCTTTTGTCTGAAAGGTTTTTTACTTTACTGCTTAAATCTACTCACGCTTTTTGATGGGAACTAAACCAGGTTATGCGTCTTTGGTCATTGGACGGCTACAACTGTGTGGAAGAATATCACATTCCTGATACTTTCTCCCTAGTTGACTTTGATTTCGATAAGAGCAAGGTAACTTCATTCTCCGCTTGTAATTAGCTGCTTAATCTATCTCACTCTTTCTCATTCTCCTCCTTTGCCTCTTCCCTAACCTCTCTTTTTCCCCAATCATGTCTCCTAGATCAGTTCACAAGTGACCTTAAACATTAAATGCTCTTATTGAGAATGTAATCATTGTGCTTATGTTGAAAGCTTTCAATTGATTTAATCAAATAAGTTCTGCTGAACAATTTCTACCTTTTTCTTTTTCTTCCAGATTGTTGGTTTGCTTGGTTCACGTGTAGGCATATGGAGATGTAACGGGAAAAGAAGTATATTTCCCTACCGTGAAGGCACATTCTCGAAAGGTTTATGGATGCAGTATGACTAGATGCATACATTATGTTGATTAACAGAAATTTCTGGCATGAATATTCTTCTCTAAAATGTTACTCCTAAACCATATTAATTGGTTAGGTATCAAGGAAGAAAACTAAACAGCTTTCTTCTATAGGTGCATTGATCCGGATCCTGTCACTGGATGTGAGGTTGGAACTGCTTATGTATTTGACATGTATAGTAGGACATGTCCTCGAATTATTAAGTATGCACTGTGCTTGTTGAATGGTGTATGTTTCATTCTCTCCCAATATTTTGAATGCTCCCAATATTTTGAATGTTATATGTTTCATTCTCTCCCAATATTTGAAGTAATCCGTTTAATGCTCTTATTGATCTCTTCATAGCAGGATGCATGCCGGCCTGTAACATGCTTATCTCTGAGTGATGACCAGTTGACTCTCAGTGGGAGCTCTCTTGGTAGTGTCTCAATATCCAGCCTCTCATCTGATCAGCGGGAAGCTACACTAATGCCAACTGACCTGGCAGGCTGTATTATTAAACGCTATGTACATCACTGTATTGAACACCACTTTGGTTTTTTCGGTATTTTGCATCTGAAACACGAATCTAGTTTCATCTTGTTCTGACAGGCATAAGGACCTTGTTCTCATTTAGTGTTTGCAGGGACAACATTTGGATGTGCTATTGTTGAGACCTTAGGTATGTTAGTTGAATCGTAACTTCTTTTTTTATTAGTTTAAGTTCATAGATTTCAAATATTAGAGCTAAATCACTGATCAAGTAGGGAAAAAAAAATCTAGAGCTATTTTCTTTTTCATGTTCAACTTTTTGACTTATTTTGCAACCCATTTGCTCATTAAGTTGCTTTTTGACTGGAAATGAAATGGGTGACTGGATACTCTGTGAATGGTGCATGATGCAAGGGCTTAGTAATTGATAAGTGAAACAAAAAATGTGCTACCTGTAAAATATGATCCACTATTTTCTTGATATTATGCTTCATGTTTTAAAGTGGTGATGAAACTGTAGCTCTATTAATGTAAGGAAGAAGGGGTTGGATAGGATCTATCAATCTCGTGGCAGTTGGCAATGGTAATAGTAGATTTAGTCATGGAGACTAAAATAAATGAGTGGTTGAATCACCTTGTTCTTTAAAACTGCAGGACCATGAAATCATTATGGAAGACACGAATAAGTTCAAATGTTCTTTATTCCTTGCATCATTTGCGGAATGATAAATTAACTTTGGTCATTGGAGGAATTGATGGTGTGCTTCCTGTTTTGAAACAGATAACAGGCGAAGTTCTTTCAAGCTGTGTTTTTGGTGATAAGAGGCTGCCAAGTTGCTCTGGAAATATGCATGTGTTCATTGAAAAAAAAGGAATGGAATAAGACTCTCTGAAGATGGCCAAATTGACAGGACTCCAAGAACTGCATGACCTCCCATCAAATGCTTGGTTGTTGGCATGAAAAAACTTGTCACTGCACATAATAGCAAGTACATTGGAATGTGGAAATTCAATGTGTAAGCGAGAGGTTATTTGTATCTGTATTAGTCATTTGTACTGTATATTTATTCCCCTAAGAACTAAGACAAAATCTTCATTCTCAACCTGCCGCTCCGCTCCTATGTTAGCTCTATCATGTAACATGTAGAGGTTTTATTACCCTTTAATATTCTTGCTTGACTTATATACCAGTATGGTTTTGAACTCTGTTTTAATGGTAGGTTCACTGCCGCAGGCCAACTGAGTCCGATAGAAATTTAGTGCTCCAAACCCAATCAAGTTGGAGGTGGGCCTCAGGTAAAATGGGCTGGACTCTAGCCTTTTTATCTAGCCTGGGATTATTGATTTCCCGCTTATATTAGACAATTTAATCTAAAAAAAAACTAATTATTTTCCAAAATATCAACGCTAGCAGCCCCATACACGTGCTTTTCCAAGATAATAAGAACTTATGACTTTTCTTGTAAGTCTGGCCATGCTTTTCACCTTAAAATCGGGCTGTGTCTGGAAAAACCAAGCCAAGGCCCAAGCCCTAAACCATCAAAACTAGTGGGAACCTCATAAATATCGAATCAATCCCTCTCTCTCTATTTATCTGAAGTAGAATTGAAGATCAGAAAAATAAAAAAACCCTAATTCCCAAACTAGGCAATAAAATCCAGCGGAAGAAGCAATGGTGTGCATACGCAAAGCAACCATAGACGACTTACTGGCGATGCAAGCTTGTAATCTGCTATGCCTTCCCGAGAATTACCAGATGAAGTACTATTTGTATCACATCCTCTCTTGGCCTCAGCTCCTTTACGTGGCCGAGGACTACAACGGCCGTATCGTTGGTTACGTTCTTGCCAAGATGGAAGAAGAAAGCAACGAGTGTCACGGCCACATCACCTCTCTCGCCGTTCTCCGCACCCACCGCAAGCTTGGCCTCGCCACTAAGCTCATGAACGCCGCCCAAGCCGCCATGGAGCAGGTCTTACCTTTTTTTTTTTTTTCATCATTTGACTATGCATGTTTTATGAAACTTTGGAAGTTTGATTTCTCCTTAGTTATACAAATTTTATTGCTGATTAAATACATATTTTCTTGTAAATTAGATAGGCTTTGATTGTTGCTTCTGTTACGTTCGTTTGGCAATTTGAAAGCTCATTTGGATACGTCTAAGAAGCAAGCGATATTTTTGAAGTAGAAAAAGTTAAAAATGTAATCTTTTTAGTTTTCTTAACAAAATTATGGTTTTACTTTTATGTAGAATGCTTATGTTGGAATTAATGTTACATTTAGTTATTATGTAGCAATTCATGAACTGAAAAGCTAATCAGAAAGGAGGAAATAACATTTATATTCTTCATTGCTAATAGGCAAAGTGATGCAGGTGTTTGGAGCAGAGTATGTTTCGTTGCATGTGAGGAAGAGTAACAGGGCAGCATTTAATCTATATACCCAGACCTTGGGATATAAGATTCATGATGTAGAGGCCAAATATTATGCAGATGGCGAAGATGCATATGACATGCGGAAGCAGTTGAAGGGGAAGCAGAACCATCATCATGGTCATCATCACCACCACCAGCACCACCATCATCATGGTGGTGGATGTTGTTCAGGTGAGGCAAGAAGCTTAGATGTGACTCAAACAAGAGGGGACTCAAAATCAGAGTCAAAAGCTAGCACAAAATCTGATTCAAAAGCTGGATGATTGGAGAATTATGTGGTATTGGCTTATGTTCTCTAATAATCTATCGGTGGCCCATGGTATTTTTAGTTTGGTTATGGAAGTAATAATCTGACTGAGGGTTTCAAAATTATGTTGGCTTTCTCTATATGATTTAGCTCACTCCTGCGAATGTAATGGTGTCTGTGCTGTCTGTGTCTTTTACAATGAGTTTTTTTCCCCCAACGTTGGTCAAATGTTTCTTTTTTGGTGTTTGGACTTGTGTTTCAAACAATAGAATAAGTCTTTATGTTTAACTTTCTGCATTCACGCTTTATGGTATGTGTATGTCTGTCTTGACTGTTTCTGCTTCCTCACCAATGTTGTTCAGATCCTTTTTCAACCAGTATGTTTTCCCTTACTCATGCAATATATGAACTGCTGCTCATCATGAACCGGATGATGTGTGTGTTCACTCTGTTATTCTTAGTGTATGAGGGTGGGCAGTTGTTGGTAGTCTGCTGTTTGGGCGCATGGTGATGTTAAGTATTTGGCAATCTGTCAATTCTGTTGATGTTGCGTTATGTCTGGTTCGTATACCTTCTTGAATGTTAAAGTTAGAGTTTCTGTTTCATTAGCCACTTGTTTTTTCTTTTTCGGGAAGTTGGGGGGCTTATAGTCAGAACCAAAAGGGAAAAGATGATTTCAATAAGTTTTTGCAAGACAAAGAAATGGATGGATATAAAAATACAAAAGTCAAATTATTAGTTTCTAGTGTACTCTATTAGAGAGGAACATTATAGAAATAGTTGTCGTCATGGTTGGAATAATGAATAAAATTTTGTATTAGGCCAAAGTTGGTGGATGTCTTTTGAGCATTCTCTGCCGCTGGAGAGTGCATATGTCCTTCATAATGTAGGGAAGAAAGAATTTAGAAAATCTGATCCTTTTCAGAAAACAGAATACATATAAATTCAATTATACTTACCTTTTGTTACTCTTACTCTTACATCCCACAACACGTGTAGCTTTTATCAAGCATACTCTTTGAATTCAATAGAAAAATGTTGAATAGGAGTACTTATATCCTGTATCATGACAACAAAATAGTTCCATTATAGGGTCCTGACTCTTGAATCTTTTATTCGATTTCGGGAATTTTCCATATTATATTATATTATTCTACAGTCGCACCGTTGGCTACAATCTGATTCTAAGGTAAATGGCTGGCACTTTTCTCATTGAGGCTAATCATCTATTCACCGAACCTACTACATTACCTGTTTCATGGCATACTTTAATTGAGATAAATCTTATATTTAATTAAATTATTAAAGAAAGATAAGGGAGAAAGGCTTTCAGTTACGATTACTATACATAATGAACTAGCAGTGCAATTCAATTTAATTCACTTAAATAATGGTGGTTTTAATCATAAAGGGGAAAGTAGTAAAATAATGGTATCACTTTTTAGCTTGGAGTATCCTAAAAGTATAATGCAATGAATACAACCAAAACTCGCATTGTCATTGTAAGCCTTGTTGATCGGAATCTCAGTGGCCCCTCCACATTCAAAAACAATCCAGTAATGGTTAAAACTTACTTTCACATTCAAAAATGGTCGTCATCAGCAGTCGTAGCACCATCCTCCAACGCCATGTGGATAAATTTGCCTCCACAGTAATTGGCCCGTATTTGAGTACTACGATCCCATTGAAATTGACCAATGCTTGCTAAATTTTGCAAGTATGGCCCCATTTTCCCACATTATTTCTGTACGGTGCGTGTGTAGGAAAATGGTAACTTTTAACTCACCTGCTATCTTGTAAATCGACGGGGAATACGAGGTGTGGGCACTACCACATCCCGACCAGACTTGATCAAGTTGAGACGATCCTTCATAGTTTTATCGAACAATCGGTTCACAGGATTTTCGGCGTAGCAAACATGGCAACAGCTCACACAGGCATACGGCAATGCCATAGCAATCCTCGTCTGTCATCTCATTTTTATAGTTCATTAGATAATCATGGAGCCGAGTCATGAGACTAAAAAAATATATCCAAGTTGATCACACGACCAAAATTTCTTGATTAAAAAATGTTAGAAAAAAGGCTAGTCTAATAGCGGATACCTACCATGAGGTATCCACAAAAGAGAGAGAGGAGGGAGACGGTGGCTATGAAGGGATGGTGGACTTTAGCAGTCCAAGCACCCACGACAATAACACAAATTGAGCCACTGCAAACCCCAGTTAGGAAGCAAATTGCGCTGGTCATGTCAGAATCTACGATGAGTTCCATTTCCTCCCTCTCGAAAAGCGCCCAACTATCTTGTGATGCCCAACAAAACCTTTTCCATGGGCAGCTATCTGCCAAAAAAAAAGTAGTTTAATTTAGTCCTTATTCATGAACCGCAAGCAAAATCAGGATTCAGGTGTTGATTACTTAAATGTAAAAGATAAACTAAAAGGAGGAAAAAGTAGCTCAGCACAGTAATCAAACTCAAGAGCATGCGCATTTGACTGGAGTTGTTCTTAATGAATCAAAATTTATCTGAACAATCGAGAACATTGAAGATAATACTATTTGAAAATGACTCCTCCAACTCCAAGTAAATAAAAGTAACTATTAGGGAAAATTATGAGTTCTAAAGATTTATCAAATGCAATTGAATACCTGAACATATGTCCAGCCATTTCCAGATCTGAAGATGGACTCCATTACTCTTAAGACAGCAATGTGCACAAGAAAACATAAATTCATCTTCTCCCTCAAGCAAATTCGAACCTCTGGCAACAATTCTCAAGGCTTCAATAGCTGGCACGAATAAAGATCCAAGACAAGCACTTCCAAGATTCCGGGTCAAGGCTCTTTGGAAGCAAAAGTGGGTATTAGACTGCATTCCTCTCAGGTAATACAGAGCAATCACTCTGCTCACTGTTATATTAACAACATTCCTCATAACTTCTGTTGTCCAGGCCAAGCTTAAGATCAATGCAATTATAATCAATGGTGGGAAGTAGAAATTCAGTGCTCCTACCACAGCCAAAATCCATACAGACATCCACAAGAATCCAGACCCAAGCATCCAATAAGCACGTTGATTTAGATCAGGAAATTTGGAAACTGGTTCAGTGATTTAAGCAAAACCTTGAAACAAAAACCAATTCGCTGAGAGACCCAACAAGCATACAAACCGTTACCAATTGCGAAGGCAATGAAGCAAACTCCAACACCGTCCGTGGCAGGCTTTTGGAAGCAAATTAGAAGAATTCCTGCTGATAAAGACATGAAGAAAGTGCACCATAGGATGAAATAAACCATGAATTGAGGCCATTCTCGCTAAGCATTTTGCCAAGCAAATGCAAAAGCAATGCTCACAAGAGATGCAACTTCAACTTGTGGCAACAAGAATTTAAGTACCCTATCCTTCTTTTTTTTTTTTTTAGGATTTGATGTTTTTATTAACCCTTGAATTCCCTTGAAAATAAGAAAGCAGACTAGTGCAACAGCCACAACCATGTGCACCATGAATAATAATAGAGATATTTTGTTGGTGAATCTTCTTGAATTCAGTGTTGTTACTGATTGCTGGCGACAAAAAGGTAAAAACCAAGAAAATTGAAGTTAACAACTGAAATTTTCTTCAAAAATTTAAGAAATTCTTACTACATAGGATAGGAGGACCAGAATTTCTTTCAAACTTGAAATTTTTTTAAAGGAAACTTGCTGGTAAGTTTCCTGAAGACTTAAAATCGGAAACTTATTTAATGGATTTAAGATGTCTGTCTGTAACCTCCGAAATATATCAAAAGTTAATGTTAAATACTAGCTGATATAGTTTTTAAGTTCAAATTTTATTAATGAAATTGTTTTACTTCTTTTTCCTGAATCAAATGAAAAATACTTTTTCTAGGCTTCAAATTAAGGAACTTCCTCAGAAAACCACAGACTAGAAGGGCCGAGCAAGGAAGCTGCTAAAAGGTCGATTCTTTCTAAGGACTTACTTGTGGGGTTGGTGTAGAACGAGGCTGAGGAGGAGGCTGAAAATGAGAAGAGTGAGAAGGAGTAGCCACTCTTGTGCCACCATTTATGACAATCCTTAAAGGGTTCGTTGGATGAAAATGGTCACTTTGATCATCAGTTCTCTCTAAAGCCTTCTCTTAACAACATCTCACCCCCTTGTTGTTTCTCCAAGTCTAAACCCTCTTCCTGACCTTCTTTCTCCAGGTCTACCTCTCTATCCTCACCCTCCTCTTCTTCTTCACCTTCTTTCTTCTCATCAATCTCTTTCTCTTCTCTCCTTTCTTCTTTACTCTCCACCTGCAACAGAAAAAGCCTTCTCTTTAACAACATCTCACCCCCTTGTTGTTTCTCCAAGTCTAAACCCTCTTCCTGACCTTCTTTCTCCAGGTCTACCTCTCTATCCTCACCCTCCTCTTCTTCTTCACCAATCTCTTTCTCTTCTCTCCTTTCTTCTTTACTCTCCACCTGCAACAGAACCAGGGCAAAAATTCTTTAAACTTCAAGTTTATACAAAAAAAAAAAGAGCCAACAAAAAGAACTACCCAAGAAGAAAACAAAAACATAAATAAAGTAAAAATGTAAAAGAAATAAATTGTCTAATGGGGTCAAGAGTTTACATGTTCAGTGGCACCCATGACGGCGGTTATGACGGTGGAGGCGGAGAAGGTTGGTTGTTCGAAAACGTGCTGTGTTGTTGGATTTCGTATGATACTCTTGTTTGCTTTGCGATGTTAATGCGATTGGCTCATTTGACAGTTAAAAGCTTGTCAGAATGTTAACACATGCTTCAAAAGAGGTGGGACCCTCTGGTTTTTTTTAATAACCGTTGACGTTGACGCTCTATGGAAGCGCGAGCGAAGCACCGAATGTTGGGTTGACGGATGTGATTTATGGACTAGAAGAAGGCAAAAAAAAATTAAACACATGTATTGTAATTTGTAAATTTTGGATATGTTCATACAGATTGAATATTTACATTCATAATTAGTAGAATGGAGCCTGTTTTGTGTGGATTACTTTTTTTTCAATATTTATAAAAGAAGCTATCAAATAATATTATAAATTACATTTATTCAAAAAAATTAATAAGAAAAATAACAGAATAAAGAAGCTAAGTTATGGTTTAAGCCTATTAGTGATATGTTTGAGGAAGGGGTTCACCATTCACAGAAATCACTGGTGGCTCAGTCTATTGGCAGAGTTCCTAATTTCAGCTGGTTCCAAAGGCTGGTTAATATGTTATGGGGAAAGGATGGTTCAGTTGATATTAAGCCTGCTAGAGCTACTCTTCTCATTTTGCAGTTTTCCTCTGAGCAAGACAGAGACAGAGTGCTTGAGTCGGGTCCATGGCACATTCAGAATAAACGTATCATTTTTCGAAAATGGAAGCCAGAAATGAAAACCTTGGAGTTTAATATGACTAGGCTGCCTGTTTGGATACATCTGGGTAATTTCCCTCTGGAGCTTTATACCAAGAAATGATTTAGCTACATTGCTAGTGCTTTGGGCACTACTTTGTATGTGGAAAGGTTAGCCGTGGCTAAAATTTGTGAGGAGATTGAGGTTGCACTTGATATTCCTCGATTCAATGGTGTTGTGCTTCAAGATGGCTCTCTTGTTTCGATATCAGTGGAGTTCCACGGTCAAAAGTGTCAGCACTGAGTTAGGCATTCTGATAAAGCATGTTGCCATAAGCCTGTTGTTGAACCTGTTAAGGTCTGGCAGCCAAAGAAACAGAATGATGACAAGCGTCCACCAACTCCTAATGTAGATTTGCTCAAAGAGGTTATGGATGGTGTGAAAAAGTCTACTCATATATTGCTAAACCTGCTTCTGAACAGAAATCGAATGCCAAATCTGGTTTTATTCATAGATTTGCTATTATTGACTCTGTTGATGAGAGGATTGAAGTGGCTAGCTCAGCTTCTGTTGAACCTGATTGTCATGAGGCTTTGGTGGATGCTCCTGCAGCTATTGTTTATAACTCACCCTGGAAAGCTAGAGCAACTTCAGCAGGTGTGGTTGTTTTTATGAATTAATTGAAAAGCAAGAAGGGTCAGATTGATAAGGGCAAAAATAAGGTCAAGGTGGATTCCACCTTGGGAGGTCAAACCACTTAACCTTCCTCCTCTTTTTCCTCATGAATCTTCTGATTTGGAATGTTAGAGGGCTCAATGCTCCTCTGAAACAAAAGGAGGTAGTTGGTAAAATTAGAGGATTTGATGTAGAAGTAGTTTGTTTGCTGGAAACTAGACTAAAAAAGCATACTATGCTGCAAATCTTGAATAAGGATATTGGTGGTTGGTGCATTCTCCACAATTTCTCTTCTGCTTATGATGGAAGAATTTGGTTGCTCTGAAAGTCTTAGTTGAACGTCGATTTGGTGGCTGCCACTGATCAAAGCATCACTTGCTGCATCCTTTATGGCATTCAGAGGTTCTATCTTTCTGCCATTTAGGGGTGCCAATAATGGTGTTGAAAGGAGACTGTGGACTCGTCTGTCTTCTCTCAAAAGTTCATTTCCTAGCTGTCATTGGAAATTTGGATTACATTGTTGGAGGGAGTTGGGCTGGTTTGCTTTTTCATCAGTACTGGAGTAGGCAGTGAAATTATTCATGATGCTGGATCACTTGAATGATCCAAAGTGATGATTGTGGACCATCAGCAATCAAATCCAGGAATCTCACCAATAAATGTTCCGTCGGGGTTGGTTTTAGTGACATTAAATTGTTCTAATTTCTTCATGCAAATTTCAAATGAGAAAAAAACACTTACAAAAGCCATCTGCAACAAAGAAATCATGAAAAGCAATAGAAATCATTTCCTGTAGCCAGTAGGGTAAGTAATTGCAGGGTAAATGTTGCTTTCTTCTCCTTTCAATTCTTAATCAGAGAATAAGATCCTTCCAAGATCGCTATATGAAGAATGAATACGTTTTTTAAACTTAAAAAGTGATCAGCAGAATTAGAATTTTCTTTCAATTTAGAGTTCGTTATGAAATTAATCAAAACTACTGGAATAAGATGAAGCTCTTTTAGTTCAAAATCAAAATGTATTTAGGTTGCTCTTGAAGCAAGTAGAAGAATTAGGCATCACACTACGGAATTACACATAAATGAGGGGGAAAATAAATAATACAAATTATCAAGAACGCATTTCACAACAAAAATGATCTTCAACAAAAAGGATGGTTTAAGTTGTATTTCTCGAAAAGCATCTCGCCCTATCCATGCAGAAGGTTCCGAGGGTTGGGGTTATAATGTTCTTGACGAAACATCATTACTACTTCACATCACCAGAAGATTCTGGGGGTAGCTTGACAATACTTAGTTGGCCTCCATTTTTGTTAGCAACAGTGGCTGCTTTTATCACATTGCAATGGTTTATGAACTTGGTCAGCTCCTGGTCTCATCAGGTAACAAAAGAGAATGTTAGCAACATTCGTATATAGACAATGTCAAAATAAAGTGTATTTTGATGGGAAGAAAAACAACCATATTTTCGCTTGTAGTTTCGTGGAGCAATCGTTATCATGCAAATGCCTGTATTCAGTGTAAAAACATAGCTAAAATGACTCCCATCTAATCTTTAATTTAAAATCTTCAACAAACACAGCAATCCTTATAATTAGCTACAGCTCATATTTTATTTAGGCTGAGTTTATTGTATGTCAAAATTAACTGAACATCCCAAAGGGAAACCAGTTCCCCAATCAACCAATGAACATGACACTCAATGAATCCAGCTTCACTCAAGCAAGTTAAGGCAGAGGACCAGACAGGATGTGGCCGCACCCATATTAAAAATAGATATCTTCCACTCCATTTTTACCCCTATAAAAACAGACAGATGCTCCATCATTCCAATTATACAAAATAAGCAAGCATGCAGGTTGCAGATACAATTTTTTGTGATAATGAGGGAGAAACAAAGAGTTGATTTGGTACCAATATTAAACAATTATAAGACAACAAAGGAAGATTAATGTATGAAAAATCATTTAATGTGGAATTGGAACCAACATTAACCTTCTGTCCCCTCTCTCTCTCTCTCTCTCTCTCTCTCTCTCACACACACACACACACACACACACACGCACACCACCACCAGTTGCTCTCTTTTTTCCTACTAAGGAACCAAAAAGCAGTGAACAAATGAAAGATCAAAGATGCACGGTAAAAAGACTCAAGGTCTAGTTTTTCTTTTAAATAAAGGAATTCTTACAATGCATAATAATACAGCAGTCAGGGAAATCTTTAAGCACAGCTTCGCGAATTGTTTCAGAGTGCCATTGGATCAGTGATTTACCCAAAAATACTAAGTATTTCATGGTTTTGAACTGTCAACACGTAAATCCAAGCAAGCTGGCAAATTTAGCACTCGATGAATACATAAAGGACCCAATATGCAAATATTAAGTGAATTTCAATTAAATTACATTAAACAGATCATAAAAAAGCAAAGAAAATAGAAGCCAAGTATGGTAAAATTCAAGACAAGATAATTTAGCAAAAAAATTTTACAAAAAATATGAGCAAGAAAGAGAGTGAAGAGAGAGAATTGAAACTTTACTCGATCAGCGTCCATCTCTTTTGTCAACTTCGACGGCTTGACTACTCTCTTACCTGCAAAGAATCAAAATTTAGAAAAAAAATATGCATTTATAAACAAACCTTATGTCATTATAAAGTTAAGAAAAAACACCTTTGCGAATGTGAGGAAGTTTCCCGTGGCGATTGGGAGGGATTGTTTTCTGTTTCTTATGCCCTTTGAACAGATTTCCCTTCTGCGTCATCTCTCTCCCTCCAACTTGCTTCGTTAGGGTTTTTGCTGGGCTTGCTTTCTTTCTTCTTTAAGTGCGTTCGCGGCATTAGGGTTTTGTAAACCGACAACGGATTTTGCGGATGTAAGGCCCGTCTAAAAGTGGATAACGAATTACAGGCCTAACTTAAGGGCCTCATCCAAGTTAATTTTTATAATTTAAATTTTATTAAAAACTTTTATTTTTTAGAACAAAACATAATTAAAAAAAAAAAAAAAAAGTCAAGCCCACTGTAGAAGACAAAAATAACAAATAATTTAGCCAAGTTGGCACTCTCTTTCCAATAGCATGCTTCCACGTCAATACACATGACGGAAACTGAAAAGACAAAAAACGCCCTCCAAACTATGGCGCGTCAAAACTGTCAACGGAACTGATATTTGTGTTATATCAAACTCAAAAACACAGAAAAAACTACTTCTCCTTAACTTTTATTTCTTCTTCTTTTCCTCTGTGTCACCCGATGCTGACTGACGGCCAGTAGGTTTAGCCAATCCGAATTCGACAACAATGTGCGGGATCTTTGCTTACCTGAACTACAACGTCACGCGTGATGGACGCTTCATTCTGGAGATCCTCTTCAACGGCTTGAGGCGGTTAGAGTACAGAGGCTATGATTCCGGCGGGATTTCCATTGATTCTTCATCTCAATCGTTTCTTTCTTCGAATCTTAACGGACAGTTTTCCAATTCTGCCCCTCCTCCTCTCGTCTTTCGCCAAGAAGGCAACATCGAATCACTCGTTAAATCTGTTTACAATGGTATTTCCTAGACCTACTATTCGTGTATTTATGTTATATAAAATATTTATGTATTTATATTATATTTTATATAAAAATTATACGTCATAATTGATGTAAAAAAAATCAAATATTTTTCTTTTTTTAAACTTATATAATTATTATTAAAATTTTAAGTGATATTGTCTTGTTATATTCGAGTCATCATGTTGTCTATTTCCTGTTTCTTTTTGGCTTAGATTAGGGTACAGCTGGTCAAATGAAGATGACGTGACAATTGTTTCACTTTTGAGAAACTTTGCTTTGAAAAGTCGTTTTCTTTGGGAACGACTGTCCCTTTTTTAGTTAAAATAACTGTGATAAAGTGTTTGGGTTTGGAGAAAATGGAGGAGAATGAATTTAAACTATATTTATTTAAGAAATTGAATTTAATATGGTGATAGTGGTATTTCAGATGTTGCGTCAATGGAGCTGAATTTGGAGGAACCTTTTTCTGTTCATGCTGGAATAGCACACACCCGGTGGGCAACTCATGGAGAGCCATCTCCAAAAAATAGCCATCCTCAGACATCTGGTGCTGGAAATGAGTTCTTGGTTGTTCACAATGGAGTTATTACTAACTACGAGGTTTGCTTATGTGTTTAGAAGCACTGTTACTGCTTAATGTGCATTTCCCTATTCTTACATCTACGTTGATAATTGGCACATGCTCAAGCACTCGTCTCGTTTTTTACATTTTTAGGTGTTGAAGGAAACACTGATCCGGCATGGGTTCAACTTTGAATCTGACACTGACACAGAAGTTATTCCAAAGCTTGCCAAATATGTTTTTGACAAGGCAAATGAAGAAGGTAATCATAACTTGTGTGCAGCAAAGAGATGAATATTTCAAATTGCTACTAGTTTTTTTTTTTATATCAATTTGAAATTGCATTGTTTTTGCTAAATAACTGCATATATGCCTGTTAATGATGCAATGGCTTGAGGGTACTTTCTTTAAAAGGGCTGGGAAGCGTTTTAAAGGATGTAGTTTATTCACTGTTAAGGTTAGAACTCAAGGACTGGTTCTAAGTAATTGAAGCAATCTTAGCCCTTTCTCTGGTGCTTTTTCTTAATATACCTTGTTGGCTGTCTGTCTACTAGAATCATACGGTTGTAAATGTTCTTGACATATATGCAAATAGATGGGTCGTCTTTTAATGTCTATCCTGCATCAAGTTAGCAATAAAATTTTGAGACAAACACCTCGTTTTTCGCATCAGTCAAATATTAGATCTAGCTTCAGCGTTAACTTATGGCATGACAAGTCTGGCTTAAAATCTTCGTATGTTGTTTTGGTTGAAAAAATTGTTCTATTAGTCTATGTTGATAAACTTTGGTGCTTATTTCCCTAAGCTTAATAAGGTCAGAATTGGATAATTTTAGTTTCAAATGGTGTTTTACTGGCCATCCTGCAGCTGACCAGAGTGTCACATTCGGTCAAGTTGTGCTTGAAGTTATGAGGCATCTTGAAGGAGCCTATGCCCTTATATTCAAAAGTCGTCATTATCCAAATGAGTTGATTGCTTGTAAACGTGGTAGTCCATTGCTCTTGGGTGTCAAAGTAAGTTATCAGAAAAGCATAAATTATTGTGTTGCCTACTTTAGGATATTTGTTATATCTCTTCCGGTTGAATAATGTTTTTCCGATTGATTTACTGTACATCTTATCTTTTTTGGAATGAGCCAGATTTGGTGTTTTAACTGAAACCTTTTTATCATTGAAATCATGGACTAGCTTTAATTATTTGCATTTTAAAAAGTTGAGGAATCTTAGTTTGGCTAATGTAACATGTTCAGGAATTAAGTGAAGACATGGGCACAGGAGCTTCATTTCTTGATCTTAAGTTCATTTCAGAAAATGGGCATCCAAAAGAATTTTATCTATCCAGTGATGCTAGTGCTCTAGTTGAACACACCAAAAAGGTTCTGGTGATTGAAGATGGTGAAGTAGTTCATCTTAAGGTATGTTTGTCAACATGAATTTTAAATAAACTGTTTGGCATGGCTCTATGAGTTACCTACGAACTTTTTACATTGAAGTCTTCTTACTAACACTAGTAAATTTTTCAGGATGGGGGAGTTTCAATTCTTAAATTTGAGAATGACAAAGGAAAACGTGGAACTGCACTTTCTCAACCATCATCAGTGCAACGTGCATTATCTTTTCTTGAGATGGAGGTTGAGCAAATAAATAAAGGAAATTATGAGCATTATATGCAGAAAGAAATTCATGAGCAACCAGAATCTCTTACAACCACAATGCGGGGGAGACTTAAACATGGAGGTTCTTGCAAAGGCAAGACTGTTCTTTTAGGTGGACTTAAAGAACACATAAAAACTATTAGGCAGAGCAGACGAATTGTTTTTATTGGCTGTGGTACAAGCTATAATGCTGCTTTAGCTGCAAGACCTATCATTGAAGAACTTTCTGGTACTTTACTTTCTCTTTAATGTCTGGTGCTCCTTGAGAACTTTTAGGATTATTTTGCTGATTAGTTTCTTGTTTATTGTCTGTGATAATTATAGGTGTCCCTGTTACTATGGAGATTGCTAGTGATCTAGTGGACCGGCAGGGTCCAATTTATAGAGAAGATACTGCAGTTTTTGTTAGTCAATCTGGTGAAACTGCAGATACTCTGCTTGCATTAGAGTATGCCCTTGAAAATGGCGCATTATGTGTTGGCATAACAAATACTGTTGGTAGTGCTATAGCTAGGAAGACACATTGCGGAATTCATATAAATGCTGGCTGTGAGATAGGGGTCGCAAGTACCAAGGTAAGTTTCACCCTTTGTTCACGTTCCATTTATTGTGTGTTATGGGTTAACAAAATCCTCACCATCATGTTTAGGCATACACTAGTCAAATTGTTGTGATGGCAATGCTAGCTTTGGCTATTGGAGATGACGCAATATCTAGTCAGGCCAGAAGAGAGGCTATTATAGATGGACTATTTGATTTGCCATGTATGTTTCATCTTGCTTCCTCTTTTAACAAATTTCTGGATTCTAAATGCTTGTTTTAGATGCAGAGGCATTTAGGAAGGTTTAAAATACAATTCATGCTTTTACCTTACATTTTTGCAGATAAAGTTAGAGAGGTACTTAAGCTTGACCAGGAAATGAAGGATCTAGCTAAACTTTTGATTTCTGAGCAGTCACTTCTTGTATTTGGAAGAGGATATAACTTTGCAACAGCATTAGAGGGTGCTTTAAAAGTAAAAGAGGTGTCTCTTATGCACAGTGAGGGAATACTTGCAGGTGAAATGAAACACGGCCCTTTGGCACTAGTTGATGAAAATCTCCCTATCATTGTTATTGCTACTCGTGACGCATGCTTCAGGTCAGTTATTTTCTGTTTTGAAGAAGTCATATGCAGTATGGCAGTTTGGCTTTGATGATTAACATCTCCAAATTGTGGACAGTAAGCAGCAGTCAGTTATTCAGCAACTTCATGCCCGCAAAGGTCGCCTAATAGTGGTGTGCACAAAAGGAGATGCAGCTTCTGTATGTCCTGGTGGATCTTGTCGAGTGATTGAAGTTCCTCAGGTTGAAGATTGTCTTCAACCTGTGGTTAATATTATTCCTTTGCAGGTATTGTTACAAATATTTTTCTCACTTTACTCATTGTGGCTCTGGTGATCTTTAAGTTGTGCACTACACATCCACAGTTAGAGAATAGTGAATCTCCATGGCATGTGCATCCGAGAAGGGGGATTTGACTGGATAGAATTTGCCCTTAGTGTCAGTCTATCAGAACCTTTGTTTCTTTATTCTGGCTATGCCAAATAGGTTATACAGTAGTTCATCAATCAGTTTCCTGGCCATTGGTCAATATGGTGGTTTCTAGTGGCTTAATCAACCAGTTTGCTGTTGATGGATAACTCACATAAACGGGAGTTTACTCATCCTATATTCTCTGTAGGCTTATTGCTTAGAAAAATTCATTTGTTTACTCACTGCTTTCCTAGGTAGAGTGGAAAAAGATGAGGAGAAAGAAAATATTTATTTAGATTTACGTATATTCATAGGACCTTTCTGTTACCATACCTGATTCCTCTCTCCGCCTCCTCTTCAAAACCCTTCTTTGTCTTAACAGCCAATTGGACTTCACACCATCATATTCATGGGTTGTTATTATATTCGTTGTTATTTTTGGATTATCTCACTTAGTCGTTTCGTTATCCTTTTTGGCTGCAGTTGTTGGCATATCACCTTACTGTTCTGCGTGGTTACAACGTTGACCAACCTCGGAATCTTGCCAAGAGCGTGACAACCCAATGAGAAAGATTCATTCAATAACTTGTTCTTTAAACCAAGAAAACTTACAAGAATTAGGTCTGATAGCATACCTGCAGCTGGAGATATCTCTGGAATTACCTGATGTTCAGGTTATGCATTGTAAATTATTAGATCACGCTTGAGCGCATCCAATTTGCCCTCTCTCGTGTGTTTCATTTTTTTTGTTCTTTTTTTTTTTTTTTTGTGATTGAGATATTCTTTTAACTTTAGTACTGGATTATTTTCCACTTCTAACTCCTAAGTTTATGTTTTTTTTCCATGTAATGTATTGTTTGGTTGAAAATGAATAGAGCATTTCCTTTTTACTGTCTTACAAATTCCTTCCTTATTGAAATTATTCTTACAACTTTTTGATTGTAAAACAATACAATTAGTTAAATGATTTAAATATTAAAATAAAATAATAATAAATATATAAAATTAAAAATATTTATTTTAATTTTTTTCACATTTCTTTAAAAAATAATCAATTCAACTCGTCAAATAATTTTTTTCACACATGAAGAGAGAAGACAATAGGTTGAGTAGAAGTGATTTTTTATTTGTCTCGTATTTAACTTGATTTTATATTCGTAATATCTAAATTCGATTTAATGTTATATAAATTATATTAAATTCGATTTGATCTGAAATTAATAAAATATTATTTTTTAATATAAATATAAAATTAAACATATTTAAATATATAAATATAAAATTAAATAATTAATTAAAAATAATTTTTATATATTAAGTTAAATCAATATAACTTTACTTAAAATTTAATCTTAACTTTATTTTATAATTATTCAATCCAAAACTAAATTTTTAAAATAAAAATTAACCCTAAAAAATAGAATCAAATCGAAACCGTCGAATACAGGTTCAACTGCCATCCTTGCCCACGGGTATGTGAAAATCTAGTTTTACTTTTTGAACTGATTGAGGAAACTGAAAGACAAAAAGGCAGCACACCGTTTAGTCTCCAATAACTTCATTGGCGCACAACGCTCCTGAAACGCACCGGTTCCTGTCTCCTTCCAATAAAGAAGTGAGGACACGTGTTACCATGACCTTCTGCACAAGGCCGCAATATTTGGGCCCACGTGATCCAGACTCTGTCGTCTATATTAACCATAACTTGAAATCGATGTTGGCCCGCTAATTTTTTGTGATCCTCAACCACAACACATGGCATTGCCATGTCGCTCCAATGTACTTCTTTCCCACTGCTTCAAAGCTGGTACCTTTGCTCTCACACCCCAAATATTTCATTGCTTCCATAAAAAATGACATAAAAAAATTTTTGTATGTTTTACTTCTTTGATTGTTTAGAGGATTTTTTTTTACATGACGTGACGTACCAATGAAACTCTATTCACATATTAGTGCTCAATTTATTTTGGAATTATTTTAGAATACAACTTTTATTTTCAAGAATTCACCTCATTCTACCACCCAAAAAAAAAAAAAAAACTACTAAAAATTCACTTTTACTTTTCTGGTTAAAGTAACTATTTTTTTCAACTATTATCAGTGGGATCAATCCCTTGTTAAAGCTATACTAGATAATTAATAATTTTATATTATAATTATATTCTATAGTTACAAATAATATACTTAATTATCGACAAAATAGATACTCCTTTTATTGTATTTTGTATGTTCATTTTTAAATTTTGAATAAAACTAATTTAATTTTAATCATTATTTTTAAAATATTATATTAAATAAAGTTTTAAAATATGTTTTAAAAATTTTAGAACACAAATTTTACAAATTTTTATTTTTAAAATTTTATTAAAAATATTAATTAAAATTGAATTAATTTGACTCAAAAAGCCAATAAAAAGAAACATAATAAGATAGAAAAAGTAAAATTTTAAATATTGCAAGGCCAATATACCACTGATTGTCTATTCCTAAAATATCTCTTACAAAAAAAAAAAGAGAGAGAGAGACAGAGAGAAGGAAAAAATGGCGTTTGCATTCCGTAGCAACGGTCTATAATCGAGAAACGTTACTGGACCTTAAAAACATCACTTATCCCCTATATTTCGAAATTAATAGATAGCCCCAAAAAATACAACTGAAAAAGCTCTCTCATTTACAGAAACAGCGCGCACTCCTAACAATGCCTACTTGCACCACACCATCATCATCGCTGATGCTAACGTATGCCGCATCTACAGTACACACGCAAGACCTTACTCCTTCCATTCTATCCTTCAAACCCAACAAGCCTACCTTTTCTCTTTACCCACTTGTTCTGAATGCTTCTAGAGACAGAAAATCCGGCCTCAAATGGGCTAATCTATGTCCCCAACGAGATCCCAAGCATGTTGTTGTAGCTGCCATGGCTGCGGGGGAAAAAGGACTGGCTAAGGCTGCAACTATTACTGCCCCGTCTAAGCGCAAGAATGGAAAGGCCGCGTTGCCTCTTAAGAGAGACAGAGTATGTAGATTTGGTTACTATGTTTTTGGGGTATATTGGATCATTTTCTGTGTGGGTTTTGCTTAGCTTAGAGTGAATTTGTTATTTCTTAAGTCGTTTCTAGGATTTTTGTATAATGAACAAAATAGTTTGGTGTTTTTCACACTTTTTTTTTCAACTATTAGCAAACCCCCTCTTCGATTAGTTCTCTAGAGTGACAGAGCAGCTCCCTTTGTTCAATCAGTTCCAGCACCACAAAATTAGGTTTTTGCCTTTGCTTCTTAATCTCCTCCCGCCACACGTCGATTCCAATCGTTAGAAAAAGCTGTTCTCGAACAGGTAGGTATGGTGGTCTCCTTATACGCAATTTCAAGTGGTGCCATGCCGCCAACGGAGAACATTGGAGTGTCTTTGAATTATGGTATTTGAGTTTGTGATTCGGTAAATGGTGTTTTACTTTAATTGAGTTTAATTTTTTATTTTAAGATTTTGGTTTAAGAAACTATTGTCTATCAGAATGGTTAGTTTATTTCAGTTATACATTACTTTTGTTAAATGTGTAGGTTCAGTTAATTAATTACTTTTTCTTTTTGCTGTTCAAACTGCAGATGAGGTCTAAGAGATTCTTGGAAATTCAAAAATTAAGGGAAAATAAAAAGGAGTATGATCTAAAGACAGCAATATCTTTTTTAAAGGAAATGACAAGTACAAAGTTTGTAGAGACAGCTGAAGCCCATTTCCGCCTTAACATTGATCCTAAGTATAATGATCAACAGCTGAGAGCGACGGTAAGTTTTCTGGGCTTCACATGATAATAGTCATGGCCTCACCAATTTTTTATGTTACACTTGATATCCTACGTTCTTCTGACCCTTCATCTTACAGGTGAATTTGCCCAAGGGAACTGGGCAAACGGTTAAAGTGGCTGTTCTTACTCAAGGTAGTTACCATGCTTTGATGCATGCTAATCTATTTGTTTTACTTGTTTTCATTTGTTTTTTGCTTGAATTGGTTCCTGTATCTAGAAATGCTGGCTTAAATTGAGAGACAGCACTGGACAGAAGAAACATAACTGATAATGTGCAGTTCTTGCAAGAGATTGAGTAGGTTCTGAACTACTAATTTTAAAATTTTGATAGTGGCAAGTAATCATGCTAAAATGATGTGCTTTAGGTGGGTGATAATATTTGAAGATCTTTAATAAAACTCCTATTAGTATAAGTTTTCTTTTTTGATTCTTATCAACATGATTATCAATTTCTTTTATGGTTTGGCAGGTTTCTAAATTTGATGTCTTTACAGGTGAAAAGTTCGATGACGCAAAAAATGCAGGAGCAGATATTGTCGGTGGTGAGGACTTGATTGAACAGATAAAAGGAGGATTCATGGAATTTGACAAATTAATTGCTTCCCCAGATATGATGGTTAAGGTGTTGCTTTGCTTCTCTTAGTTCAATTAATGAGATATACTGATTGTTCCCTTACTCTGTTAACCAAATTCCACTGGTCAAGGATATCATTTGTTTCATATTTCTTTTTGGTTTGAAATCACAATAATAGTCACTGGGGATTTTATTTTGACATCTTCCTGACTTCTATTAGGTTGCAAGTCTCGGAAAGATTTTAGGACCACGTGGGCTCATGCCAAATCCCAAAGCTGCTACTGTTACACCCAATATACCTCAGGTAGGATCGGATTGCTACATTTTAATGAGCTTGTGTTTCAAGTTCTGAGTTCTAGGTCAGTGTTTATTGATTGTGTTGATCTTTGCGCTTTTATTATGGCCAAAGAAATCTTATGTTTGCAAATTTGTGCTTGTGCACACATGCTCTGCTGCACGTATATATTCACATGAGAGATGCTGGTCTATGGACTATAAATTGGTACTCAGTGATATTCCTATGGATCATTTTGCATACTTATATTTACATGAATCATGTTTGTGCATAGGCGCTTGTTCTTGTGCCTCAGTGTCAATGTGCTTCTTTGACATAGTAAGAACTACAAATTGAGTGTGAAGTTGAGACAATCTGTTAGCAAGTAGTTGCCCTCAACAGTAGAGAACGGACGATTTGGAAAATTAAGGTGTTCCGATTCACGTATTTGAGCTGGTATTAGCTCATTTATGTCTCTGACGAAGTAATAACACCAATGGAATATGGCCATGATGGATGGGGAAGAAGTGTAGAACAACCACATTCAGTAATATGCTTAGGGGTCATTTTACTTTTAATGAAGTTGTAACTGAATGATACATGCTAGCTAGCAATCGTTAATATAGCTAAAATGTTTATTGAATCATCTTTTTCAGGCCATAGAAGAATTCAAAAAGGGAAAAGTAGAATACAGAGCTGATAAAACTGGGATTGTTCACATATGTTTTGGGAAAGTTGACTTCTCTGAAGATGACCTTCTCGTGAACTTCCTTGCTGCAGTAGTATGTCACACCCTTTTCCTTTCCTTGGCACTTCTTATCTCCTTCTCTCGACTTTTTGCTCTCTATTTCTTTATTTTGAACAATATTAGTTTCCAAACTGCAATTCAACTTGAGATATTTATTTATGTTTGTCTTAATTCGACAGAAATCAATTGAAACAAACAAGCCAAAAGGTGCAAAGGGAGTATACTGGAAAAGTGCACACATATGCACGTCAATGGGTCCTTCGATCAGGTTAAATATAAGGGAGATGCTTGATTACAAGCTTCCATCAAACATTATATGAACATGACTGACTAACTGCTGTAAATATCTTCAACCCTTCAATCAGCCAATTTGGGCACTCAGTCAGAGCATCCAGTGGGTTAGTGGAAATGGGCAGGGAGTAAGTAGGTGGGAGAATGGAGAGCTGTGATTGTTTAGAACAAATCGTACTGAAATCATGCATACCAGATTATCATTCTGTATACGCACTGGGACTCGTACCATCATATGATTAATAACATCAATTTTATTTTTCTTATTTGGAGGTGTTTTTGAGTAAAATTCTGAGTTATTGCAACTATAAAACAGGCTCATACATCAAACATGTCCTTACATATCATAACTGGTCAAAGTTATTCAAGTATATCATGGGCCGAAGCGTTCATCAATATTATTGATGACAGACATGCTTGAAAGAAGCTCAGTGACTTGGTTTGGTTGTGTTGGTTTCTAGCTTACAATAATTAAGGTTTCTGTCCAAGTGGGAAAAAAAACACAAGGGGGAAGACCGACAGTGAGCAAAATTGTTTTTTTTTTTTTTTTTTGGTCCTAAAAATTGTTAAATTAATTATTAGTTAAATATTTAATTTATGATTAAATATTTAAAATATTACTCAATTCAAGATTAAATATATTATTTTATCTAAATTAAAATCAAATATTATCGATTTGTAACAATTGAAAACTTTTTTAAATGAAAAAAACGATGTGAAAAACACTCGCTATCATCTCGTGCAGTAAATTATTATTGTTAAGGTGATTTTTTACTTGTTTGATGAAAACATTTGAAGTGAAACAATAAAATAATATTAAATATATAAATTATGCTCAAAATGTTATTCTTTTTTTCTCATAAAAAATTATAAATAAGTCATTAATTTACCTCCATCAAATTTTTCAATAAATTATAAATTTTTAACTGAACAACACATCGAAATATAAATAGTTTATCGTGAAAAAATTAAAAAAAAAAACACACAAATTATCCAAAACCTTACAATAAAAACTTATTCAAATTCAGATTACATAAATTTCATCTAAATTTTACGCTCATAAAAGAGATTTATCATCAATTAAAAAACACCTAATAAAAAAATGATTAATCTACTCTACTGGTGAAGTTGGGCAAACCCATTGATAACAAATTGAGAATTGTCTGAGTGTTTGCTGGATCCAACCAAGGTCAAGCTAAGATTAGGTGTTTGTACTGAAGCATCAGCTAATTTCCTCATTAATTACTAGACTCTTTCGTGGAAACTTAACCTCCCATGATCTCTCCTAACAAATAGTCGCCAAAAAAAGCCAATAAATAAAAAAAATTCAAATGAAAAAAGAACCAAAAATCATCTCAAATTTTAATTAATGATAAGAATATGAAAGTAGTCTTTTTATTTATTAAAAATGAAATTTGATTTTCAAGATAAGAGTTGTAGTAGTTTCAAACAAAATCTTTTATTGTCTGTCAAACCCATCCAGTTTCCGCACCAAGATCCAAACCCAACTTAATTATGCCATTATTGATTCTCATCTTATGTTGTTATCATGAATGCTATAAACAACCTAAACTTAGATACCGACGTCATTTTTATTTGTTTAATAGAGTAAAGTCCAGCTCACTTTACTCAAAATCCAACTATGTTATTGTCACTTTCATACGCTTAATTGCAAAACTTCATCTTCTCTTTTTTTTTTTTTTCTCAAAAAGCAAACAAGAGAGTTTTAGACAAAAGAAATATTTGCAAGATTTAAGAGAATGGGAAGAAAGAGAAAAGTTTTAGAGAGAAGATGAAAAAAATGAAAGATGTAAAAATATATATATATATATATTTTAACTTCTATTTTTTTGTCTAATTTATTTATCATATTTTATATTTTTAACACGTTACCATTAAAAAGTTAATTTTGTATATATTTTACATTCGTTAAAAAGTTTTAAATTATTTTAAATAGAAAATGTTTGATCGTGATTTAAATAAGATAATACATTTAATCTTGAATTGAGGAATACCCTAAATGTTTTGTTTTAAATTGATCATTTGTTCTTAATTATTCATAATTAAGCAGCTGGGTGGGTTGTTGTTCAAGCGGGTCCATTTTGAAAAACATATCCAATGCAACTTTGGGCTTTGCTTTTTGACCCAAAAAAAAGGCTGCCTTGTTTTGTGGCGCTATGCAAAATCTATTACTTACAAAAAAATACTCTATTTTAAGGCAAAAGGTCTTGGGCTGCGCTACTCGTCAATCGTTTGTTGCCTGCGAAAGTTGCTCGCCCATCATTTTTCTTATTTTTATTTTAAGGCAAAAGGTTGTCAATACACGCCAATCGGCCCATCATTTTTTTCTTAAATACTCTATTTTAAGGTTGTCACTACTCGTCAATCGTCATTGCTTGCGTAAGTTGTTGTTCGCCCATCATTTTTTTTTCTTTTTGGTTTGGTGCGTTTTGCAAAGTAGAAAACCCTAATAAAAATCATTAAATAAAATTGATAAATTAAAAAATTTTATTACCTAAATCAAATATATAAAATTTAAAAAATAAATTTTGATATATATTTTAAATAAATATTTTTAGTAAAAATTTTGATAAAATTTTTATCGTTAAATAAATATCTATCAATTTTAAATGATAAATAATATTTTTAATAATTTTATAACATATTATTAATTTTTATATTAAATTTAATCAATTTATCAATTTAAATTTTTATTAAATAATTTTAAAAAAATTCACATACTTCCGCTAAAGAGTTAATGACATCATTAAAGAAAGAGTCAATGAAATCATAAAAATAAACAGCGAATTATTGAGTTAATTAAATTCATAGGAGTATTAAAATAACTGGAAACTTTAAACACAATTAGTTGTGTGGAGTCACAAACGGCAGTTTTGAGTGGAAATACCCACGTGTGCTTCGGATTCTATCCCCCGCAAATTTCCAAAAAATTATAATTCGGTGTACTGCATAATTAGAATTAGAGATGAGTGAATCAGATAAGGTGGTGTGTGTAACCGGAGCAGCTGGTTACATAGCTTCATGGCTTGTTAAGCTCTTACTCGAGCGTGGCTATACTGTCAAAGCCACTGTTCGTGACCCAGGTTTGTAATCCTCTTTCTTGTGTTTTTCTTTCCTGGTTTGTTTGGTCTCACTGTTAAATCAAAATATTATGTTTGAACATGCAACAGATGATCCGAAGAAGACACAACACTTGCTTTCCCTTGATGGAGCTAAGGAAAGACTTCATTTGTTCAGAGTAGAGCTATTGGTTGAAGGATGCTTTGACTCTATAGTGGATGGATGCCATGGTGTTTTCCATACAGCCTCCCCCGTTTTCTTTTCAGCTACTGACCCACAGGTTCCATCCTCCTTATATTTCCAGTTTGTAATGCCTCTGATCGTATTACTCTTAATTGGACCAACCGCTTAATCATGGGAAATATCATAGGCAGGTAGGGTGAAAAATTTTTTTGGAGAAAACTAAAAATCAGTTTAAAAATAGTGTTTGATTGATTTGGATTTATTTTTTTATTTAATTTGAATTAAGTTCTAAATATTCTATTTAAATCAAATTTTAGATATAAAAGTCAAGAATTGAAAAAAAAAACAGAATTATATATATTTATTAATTTTTATATATTTTTAAAATTTTTATAAAATAAAAATAATTATTTTATACTTAAATCTATTTAAATATATTAAAATAATATATAAAAAACAAAAAAAATTTTAAAAAAACTTCTAAATCAAACCAAATCCATAAAATTTGGTTTGGTTTGAATTAGATCATATGAAAATTTGATTCGAATTCAGATTAGATTTTAAAAATTTATAATTTTATGCATTATAAAAAAGTTGAATCGGACTTAATCTGATTAAAACCGTTATGACTAAAAGTGTAATCGATTAAGTTCGAGCCGATATAATATTAAGCTCAAGCTCGAGCTTGACTTGAAATTCGAGACTCGAAATTCAATTCAAACTTAATTGAGTTTTATTTTTTTAACTCAAGTTTAATTCGAGATAAAAATTGAGTTATTCGAATTCGTTTAATTAGGCTCGATTAATTTATAAATTAAGCTTGATTCTTATATTCAACCAAAACTCGAGTTTGAGATATTTTTTTTAAAAAAATATAAAAACTTGATTAGGATTGCAAATTATTCAAACTAGGTATAAAAACACTTAAACTCAATTTGATTTATAAATCAAGTTATTCAAATTTGATTCAATAATAACTAAATCGAATTCGAGTCGAACCCAAAAAATTTATAAATATTAAGATATCATTTACACTCTTAATTACAACTTTTATATGCAATATGGGTGGAAAAATAAATGAAGAGTCGGATTCTTTAAGTACAAGAGTTGTTAAATTGTTTTGAGAAATGATTAGATGCACAAAAAACAAAAAAAAAGAAGCTAAATTTCACTTAAAATACAGTATTGAGGAAAACATGCACATTTCAATTATAGGCTAATTGAACTTTGGACTCCATCACAAATACAATAAACTTATGTACCAATGATGAATCCATGTAACATGGTAAAGTTTTGCTATATCGTTCAACCATTTGTGATTTGATCCTACCTTGTAAGATGATGGTCACTTTAATTTTATAACTTATTGTCACTGAATTTCATGCAAAAAGTCTAAACTTTTCCGCTTTCAGGCAGAAATAATTGATCCAGCAATCAAGGGTACACTTAATGTTCTTAAATCATGTGCAAAAGTTCCTTCAATCAAAAGAGTTGTCATGACAGCTTCCATGGCCTCAGTTCTATACAATGGAAAACCTTTGACTCCTGATGTGGTGGTTGATGAGACTTGGTTTTCAGATCCACGTTTTTGTGAGGAAGGTAAGGTATGTACATGCTTCTGCTAATTTCTTTATGATTTGTCCTGTGAATGAGAATACTTTATTTGTTTATAGTGTCATAGCTAATAGTAGTTTATATTCTTTTCAGGATTCCATGAGTGATCAGTAATCTTAGTTGATACCATCTTTCTAATTCAATATATGTACCTAATACATGACATAGGATAAATTTGAAGTCATGGTCTTGGAGGAAGGTTTCTAATCAAATTGCACTTTGATATATAGTCAAATATCAAAAGTCCTTGCAAATCTTATAAATGATCATTAACTACGATTTTGCTGTCAAAATTCAGATATCTCTGATTTTTATTGTCTCTCATCTTAAGGGTTCAATATTTTATCTTTTCTCGACCTTATGCTTTAATGAAAAGTGATTTACTTTATTCAGATGACAAAAGAAAGTAT